CCCAAAAGGCCCAGGAGACAACACTGGGGCCTTTGGGTGGTGGGGGGGGGCGGGGTGTTGGCAAAATCCTGGGGTCAGAGGTGTTGGCCTGGGCCAGGGCCAGGGCATGTGGGAAATGTTCAGGGTATGCAAATTCAGGTGAGCTGAGCGAAAGGCTGATGTCCTCGAGGCCTCAGGAGCTATGTCTGCATGGACACACAGCCCTCAGCAACAGCCTCTGGAGCTGGAAGCAACCTCCGACCTGCCCTGAGATGAGGGGAAGATCCCGTCACCAGGGATGTCTAGGGGCGGGTGGAGAGTTTGGTTGGTTTCAATGGACTGGCCAGTCCTGAGGCGACGAGTGGGCAAGGCCCTGCCACAGGGCAGCTACAGGCACTTGCTTCTTGCTTTACTCTGGGTGTTTGATTGACACTGGTTCTAGAACAATCAGCCTGACCATGCAGATTAGAGAGGCCAGCGACAGTCCAGGAGGGAGGAGGTGGGGGGCAGGACAGGCAAAGCCACTCCAAGGAACAGTGGCTCCTGGCAACTGGGCTCCTGGGCAGCGAGGGAGAGTGTGTGTGTGGGGGGCGGGGGGGCAGAACATGTGTTTCTGTGCGCTGGGCCTATGGAGTCCTTTGTCCCAGCATGACACCCGTGCCTGGGCGCGCCGTGTCTGGGTTTCCCCCTTCCTCCTGGGATGAGCCAAGGAGCCAGGACGGGCAGGAAGACCAAATAGAGAAGGAGAAACAGGCATCGGCTCTCAGAAGGGCCACCCCACCACCCCATGTAGGTGACCAGGCCACTCTGAATGGACTTCCCCTCTGCTGGGCTTGGATGAGAGAGGCCTGCCTAGGCTGATCAGAAGTGAGCTGGCTGCCAAGGAGCCCGCCTTGAAGCCTGTTGCCCCCACAGGGAGCAGGGAGGTGGAGGTTGGTAGAGGGCACCCTTGCAGGTGAGTGGTGCCTTGCTCCTGAATCCCAGCCTGCCCAGTGCACTCTGACCCCGTGCACCCTACTGCCAACAGGATGGCACTCTGGAGACCCACTGGCAGTGACGTTCTGAGTGGGCACACGTGGATGGAAGTGGCTTTACCTCCTCAGTGTACTTGGAAACTTTGGGGGATGACAAAAGATGCCCAACAGACAACAAACCCTGTCACTAGCCCCTCTGTCTATGACCGGTGACTGGCTCGCTCCCTGTGTCCTCTGAGCGGTCAGGGCCCAGCAACCCTAATCCCACCCGGGTCAGAGGCAGGAAGTAGGGGGTGGCCGTTGCCTTCCAGAACTTGAGGTCACTGCTCAAGGAGATGGAAACGTGGGTGCGCCCACACCCCCCCTCCTGAGATGACTCTAAATGGCCCTTTATTCTCAGCCCTCACTTAAGTGTCAGGAGAAGGGCAACTCCAGTCTGTCACCCGCCCCAGCGATGCGAGTAAACAACTCACTGCCTGGTTCCTTCCTCACATCACAGTCTGTGCCCACATGGTCCAGACAGGTCCAGGCCCCACAGCAGTGGTGGTCTTGGTGGCAGCCACAGCAGCCATCTCAGTAGGCAGGAAGCCTCTGCCAGCCACACCCACATCCCCAGCTCCTGGAGACCCCCCCAACCATGGATGGAGTGTGTGTGTGTCTCATCGCAGTCGGGAGGACAGGGGAAACTATGGCTGGAAAGACTCACACAGCCCTGACTCCTGAAGCCCAGGCTGCTGGTGCCCAGTGCCCTGGCCTGGCCAATGGCATCACTGTCTTGAGCTAAATGGCCAGGGCCATGCTGGTACGTAGGACAAGTCTGCAGAGGACCGGCGAGGTTCTGACCGCTGGTACTTGGGACAGCTCTTCTGCACTGTGTGACCTGAGACAGACCCGCTGCCTCACCAGTCACGGTGTCCATGCCTGTAAAACAGAAGCACTCCCCTAGGTGGGGACAGGGAAGGAGGCTCTGTGGCCTCCGACAGCTTCAGCAGAGCCACTGGAGCTGTGACCAACTAGCGGTCAGGTGTCCCTGCACCTCGCCTCCCTGCTCATCATCAAGGCTCTCCGGCAGGTGCCGGACCCTTCCAGAGCTGGGAGGCCCGTCCTGCCTGCCACCCCTCACGGCCATGGGCTGACACTGTGGCTTAGCCCCTTGTCAGACCCCTAAGGGCAGGTCCCCCAGAGCTGGCTCCACACTGGGTCCTCACTGGGTCCTCTCTCTCAGTTCCTCCCCTGAATGGATATGGAAACTAAGCTGAGTGTTACATTCAAAATCACAGGCTGGTACGTGGGCGGATCTGAATTTGAACTCAGGTCTCAGTGTCCATCACTCAAGAACAGGACCGGTGAGCAGCCACAGCCAGCTACAGAAACCACACATTTGCTTTCTACCTACACTCCCCCCTCAGGTTGGCTCTCTGTCCTGAGCACAAACTGGAAAAACGCTTCACCCAGTGCCCTGGCCCCTCCCACCTAGGCACCTCTCTCCAGCCCAGCCTGAACCTCAAGCAAACTGGAAGCTGAGCACTCACAAAGCCACCAAACATGGAGGCCAGAGCCCCAGGCCCCAGAGTGGGCGGGAGGCTGCAGGCTGCCTGCACCTGCCTGGTGCCTACTACCGACAGGTGCCAGTGCCCAGTCTTCCTCAGAGAGGATATTTGCATATGTAAATATACTAACAACCAATAGAAAGGCTAGGACCAAACCTATACGTTTATGGAGTCTATTCAATGGCACAGGACACTGCCTCCTTACTTACCCGGCACCCCTGGACTGCTGCAAGGAGAGCTCAGAATCCAGATGAGGACAGTGTCTTCTCTAGGGGAAGGGCCCCGGCTGCAAGTGATCTGTGAAGTAGGAATGATACAATGACCTCGAAGTAGTGGAGAGGATGCCCTGGGGCCGTGGTCGGCAAACTGCGGCTTTTTAGCCACATGCAGCTCTTTGGCCCCTTGAGTGTGGCTCTTCCACAAAATACCACGTGAGGCCGCGCACGTACAGTGCGATTGAAACTTCGTGGCCCATCCGCAGAAGTCGGTTTTCAGCCTGGGCGAGTCTATTTTGAAGAGTACTGTTGATATTTGGCTCTGTTGACTAATGAGTTTGCGGACCACTGCCCTAGGGGATGGAGCCATCATATACTTGGGAGGTGCCCAAGCAGGTATGCCCGTGCCCACCATGTCCTGGGAACCTGCCATGTGAGCGTGGCCACTTTGCTGTCTGGGGGCTGGGAAATGAACTGGACACTCACCCCACCCTTAGGAACTTCCCAGTCTGGCTGGATTAAGAGGAGGCAACAGTGATGCCCATAACAACAGAGACAGTGGATGGCTCTCAAGCCTCAAGCAGGCTTTAAGCCCCAGTGTGACTCCTGCCTGATCTGGAAGCATGTGGCTGGAAGTGAGCTTGCACAGAGAGGGTGGGAGTGTGGGCCAGGTGTCCCTAATCCCCGGGGGGGCCTGAGCCAGGCAGCCACTGGGGAGATGTCCAGGCCCAGGCAAGAAGGAGCAGGCCCTTGGGTGCACTGCTGGGGAGTCTGTGAGTCACCCTGTGATGAGGCAGCAGGGGGGGAGGAGGGGAGGGGCAGGAGGTCTGTACACTGGGATTGGCTCCCCACACCCTCCCGCTCATGCGGTGTCACTGGGTGAAGGGAGCAGCCTTCTCTGGGAGGCCCAAGGGAATGTGGGGGGTGGGGGGAGCACCCTGTGGGCCAGTCAGTCCCTGCTTCGAGGTGAAACCACAACCCCTAAGGCTCCTGCACCCTTACCGGTGGTTATCAGCCAAGGGTGCAACTTATTTGCTTTCCCCCCATTTCTGCCAATTAGGCACCTGGGTCTACAGCCTGGGCCAAGCCTGGTGGTGTCTGCCTTTATCTACAAGGCCGAGAGGAGAGAGAGAGAAGTGGGGGAGTGAGGGGGGCTGCAGCCTGGGAAGACCCCATCCCCATCCCCACTGTAGCTAAGGGCAGCTACCGTCTCTGTCCTCGCGTTCCTGCCCTGAGAGCTCCGCTTCACTCTGGCTCTCATTACCCAGCAATCTGACCTGTTGTTGACCCAACTTCGCCCCTTGGAGCAAGAGGTCACCAGCCACCGCCCAGAAGCCCAGGTCAATAGACAGCACCCTTTTGTTTCTCGAGCATCCAAAGAATCAAGTGGAGGGGACCAAAAACAAGCTGAAAACCTCCAAGTAAGTGGCTCGGCTCCTGCCTCTCTAGAGAGCAAGGAGAGGGTTGGGGTGGGGTCTTTTGGCTAGTTTCCCGCGCAGAGCCCCCGCCCCCCCATCTCCCAAAAAACACCAGGTGTGACTGGAGCTGAGCAGGGTGTACGGGCGAGGGTGGTAACGGGGTGCAGATGGGGAGGGAGGCTGCGGACGGAGGTGTGAGCGGCGGGTAGAGGACCCGGTCGCTGCAGGAGCGGACAGGGGGCGCGCTGCCAGAGTGCAGGACAGCAGGACAGGAGCCGGGGACTGGGGGGATTGGAGGGATGCTGAATTCGGCTGGGGGCGGGGAGGCCCCTGAGTCAATAATACCCATCTTCAGTTAATAATAACTACCTTAGGTGGTTGTCGGGGAGGATTGGCAATGATGCCCACAAGGGTCCAGCTGAGGGTCTCCTCCAGAATATAAGCTCTATAAGGCAGGATTTTGTTTGTTCCCTGAAGTATCCAGCGCTTCACACATAGTAGGTGCTTAATACATAGTAGGTGCTTAATAAAAACAACACCGTCAAACTCTGAAACCCAAAGGGTGGCTCAAGCCCAAAGAGGAGGTCAGATATTTTAACACGCACACTTAACGAAGTCTAAATCCCATTGATATCTTAGCCCTTCTTCTGAACAAGGATAGCTTTACAGCGTTTGGACTCTGCTTACCTCCTTCCCAACCTATATGCTGTGATTCATTATTTTAGTTCTAGCTTCTCATTTTCACTCCATTTACATTTAACATACTTACCTTTATAGTTGGGTTTAATTCCACCCCCTCGCCACTTGTTTTCTATTTGTCATTTCTCTTCTTTCTTCCTTTATTTCTTCTGTCCTGTCTTCTTTTTTGTGGGCCAGATCTACGGCGCCAAGGGTTTCAGCTTGAGCGATGTGCCCCAGGCGGAGATCTCGGGTGAGTGAGGGCTGCGGGCCCCGGACCCCGGCGCGTCCGGGTTTCCTTGCTTACCCACGTTGGCCGTGCGCGGCCACTCGCCCCGGGTGCCCGCAGCCCGCCGCCTCGGAGCCCCTGCCCCCTCTCTCCGTCCCGTCTCCAGCGCTCCGCTCGGTCGCCACCAGCACCAAACAGGCTCTCCAGCTCCTTCCCGTGGAGTTGTCCTCGCAGGGCTGTGGCCGAGCGCCCCCGGCACGGTTCCCCCCTGTTCGGCCAGGGCTCCAGCGGGGCTTCTTCGGCCA